AAAGCAAGCACAGCAGCTCATTCTGATGTTCAGGGAAGCTTTGAGCCCCCGACTGCAAAGTACTTCCTCACACTGAAGTAGCTTAGGATTGTAAGCCTCCCATTCAGACTGAACTGTTGTTGCTTTTGTTTTGTTTAGGTTTTGTTTTTTGGCAGTGCAGGAGATCAAACCTGATGCTTTAAGCATGCGCTCTACCTCAGCCCTGTTTTTAAGCAGCGGAAGGAAAAACAAGAAGTCATCTATTTTTATCTTTTTTTTTTGATACCAGGGATTGAACTCGGGACGTTGCACTTGCAAGGCAGGTGCAGTGCCACTGAGCTAAATCCCCAGCCCAGAAGTAATCTATTTTTAGAAGGAACATTTTTAAGAAACGCAGTTTTAACTCTAAGAAATTTTAAGTATATGAAAAAGGAGGGAGAATCATATGATGAATCCCCGTGAACGTTCGTTCAGCTTCGGCAGTAGCGACACTCAGCAGCTCTTGGTCCCCTCACACTGCCAGTGCTGCCAACTTCCCCTTCTCTGGCTGAATTATCCTAAAGCAAATCCACGACGTTACGTCATTCCAGCCATAGAAGTTTCAGTACATTTCTCTAAATAATATGTGGCAGTAAATAAAATGTGCCTACAAGAAGAATACCATTTTTCTCATCACAAAATTCACGATTCTTTACTATCATTAAATATTTAGTGTCCGTATTTCCCTGACTCATGAATGCTAAAGTCCTGTCTCACTTAGGAGAAACGGTATTTTGGTTTGGTTTGGTTTGGGTTATTTTTTTTCTGTTTTTTTGAAATGGTATTTAGAGAACACAATCAGAGCACAAGGGAGATTCTTGTCACTGAGTATATCATTACTTCTATGCCTTTTCTGTGGACAAAGCTGAGAAATAGGCTATTACATCTCAGTAGGGGGGGCAGGTGTTTGAGATGGTCTTGCTGTGCAGTTCAGGCTGGCTTTGACCTCACTGTGTTCCATGCTGGCCTCAAACTCTCAGCAATCCTCCTGCCTCAGCCTCCCATAAGCATGCACCCCCACACCTGGCTGAGTTTTGTTTTTGTGTTTGTTTTAAAGGTAAAATGCTTTGTGACTTTAGACCAGTGTTTCCCATTCAAATTTAGAATTATGAATTTAACTTCCTGATTTCTAATTTCTAAGTTCTTTTTTTTTTGGTACAGGGAATCAAACTCAGGACATGCCCTTGCCAGGCAGACATTGTGCCAATGAGCTAAATCCCGGGCCCTTTAGTTTGATTTTTTGAGAGAGGGTCTCAAACTCTGTGATCCTCCTGCCTCAGCCTCCTGTGTGCTGGGATTATAGGTGTGTGCCACCACGCCCAGTTTGGTTTTGGTTTTTGAGACCGAACCTTGTTATGTAGCTCAGGCTGGCCTTGAACTCACTATGTAACCCAGACTGGCCTCAAACTCATGATGATTCTCCTGCCTCAGCCTCCTGAGGGCTGGGATTGTAGGTATGAGCCACTCTACCCAGCCCGCCTTGCTTTTTTCAATTAACAGTATAGCTTGGAGTTGATTCCTAGTGGTAAATGTATGTAGATACCCCTCCTTTCTTTGTACAGTTCCCTGTGTGGCATTCTGTGGCCGGAAACTGAGTTGTAGTCTTATCTAATAGATATTCTTTTGTTGCAATCTAAATAGAAAAACACTGCTACTAGAGAAAAAGAAATAATCTATTAGTACACAACAGTGTAAAGAATGAGCCCCTCTGCAGGTTCTGGGAGTTGCAAAATGTATGATAGCTACATGGGCTGAGGGTGTTCGGACTGCCTCACAGAGCAGGCTAACTCTTGGGACGCCTTTGGTGGCCTCGGTGGCAGGATTCTAAACAAGGACAGAACATCGGAACTTTGCTGCCAGACTGCAACTCTCAGAACAAAATGTAGGGCTTCTTAAAGGTGTGGGGGAGACGCAAACTCAAGTCAGATACAAGCAGTGGCAAAAGAAGGAGGTAGAATAGATGGCCGGGGCCTGTTCCTTGCCTTTTAATTAGTTTCCAGAGCAGGGGGAGTAGGAGGGGAGGGGAAAGGGCTGTCAAGGATGAGTGCAGTTCCTGTCCCGGTGCAGGGGTGCTGGAGTCAGGCCCTGGCCTCCTTTCCTCCTGGCAAGTGACATTTTCCCTTCGTGTTCCTTTACGTGTCTGGTGTGCCCTCTAGCGTCTGTGCCTGGGCCTGAGGCCTCTTGACGGCCAGGAAATGGAGCCTGGCCTCAGAGGAGCGGCCGCCCTCTCCAGCACCTCACTGCCTTCCTCCCCTGTCTTGCCTCAGGGTATTGCAGGCACCGACGTAGCAAAGGAGGCCTCCGACATCATCCTCACAGACGACAACTTCACCAGCATCGTGAAGGCCGTGATGTGGGGACGGAACGTCTATGACAGCATCTCAAAGTTCCTGCAGTTCCAGCTGACGGTCAACGTGGTGGCTGTGATCGTGGCCTTCACTGGAGCCTGCATCACTCAGGTGAGGCGACTGAGAGGTGGGCCGCGCCGGGAGGGATGTGGCAGAGGGAGTAGAACCAGGGCCTCCCCGGTGGAGCAGGGGCAGGGAGTAGCTCAACTCGCTAGGCCACTGTCGCCGTCTGCCCATGTGGAATGATGATCACTGGCCACCTTTGTCAGCCTCTGTGCTGTGCACTGCAGTGTGTTATCTCCATTCCTCAAAAGCAAGCTCGGAGAGCCGGTATCATGCTCCCCACTTTATAGGAGAGGGACCCCAGGCTCAAGGGGTTACAGTTTTCGCAAGGCCACTGAGCTAGTGGGTTGCCAGATGCAAAATCTAGGCCAGTGGTGGGAGCGAGACCATTTCAAGAGAAAGATGGGGCAGCTGACCGGGGCAGGGCTGGTTTCTGGGGAAAGCTAAAGGGACTCCTTCTTCCTGCCAGGATTCCCCACTGAAAGCCGTGCAGATGTTGTGGGTTAATCTAATCATGGACACTTTTGCTTCGCTGGCCCTGGCCACAGAGCCCCCTACAGAGTCTCTGTTAAAGCGTCGCCCCTACGGCCGAAATAAGCCTCTGATCTCACGTACTATGATGAAGAACATCCTGGGCCATGCGGTCTATCAGCTCGCTGTCATCTTTTTCCTTGTTTTTGCTGGTGAGCCGCGGGCGGGGGTGGGGGCAGTGGCTGGGGAGCCGGACGGAGATGAGGACAGAAATGGCTTGAGGAAGGCAGGCGCAGCAGTGCTGGCGAACGTTTCGGAGACTGAGCTGCAGCCCACACCCGCTTCTTTATCACAAGGTGCCGGTGCTCCAGTTCAGCCTCAATGCTCGGCTGCTGGGCCGATTCTAAGGCAACTGGGCTCGTGCGCCGACAGAAAGGGCTCTTCCTGCCCACTGTGGCACTCATGCCGTAGGTTCGCCACCACTGAGATGCAGCATGGGCAGAAGGGGCCCAGACGGGGCGTAGCAGCTCCACCTACAGAGCGCTCCCTGGGTGTTTTTGCTGCCTCGCTCTGGGGCACCTGGTCTGTTATCCTTAGCGCAAACCAAGACCGGGTCAGAGGGCTTGAGAGCTGGGCTAACACTTAAAAGATTTGATTAAGCCAGATGTGGAGACACACACCTGTGATCCCAGCCACTCAGAGGCTGAGGCGGTTCCAGGTCAGCCTCTGCAGTTCAGTGAGGCCCTGAGGGCTAGAGATGTAGCTCAGCACTCCCTGCGTTCAGGCCCAGAGGCTGCAAAATGAACATACATCTGATAACTGGTACAGCTCAGAAACTAACGGGGTGGAATGGATTTTCTAAGCCACACAGCTGTGCTGACTGAACCTGAGCCCTGTAGAGCCACAGGTACCTGCAATGCGTGCCCTCTCCCACCCAGGTGAGAGGTTCTTTGATATTGACAGTGGGAGGAAGGCACCTCTGCACTCACCGCCCAGCCAGCACTATACCATTGTTTTCAACACCTTCGTGCTGATGCAGCTCTTCAATGAAATCAACTCCCGGAAGATCCACGGAGAGAAGAATGTCTTTTCAGGCATCTACCGCAACCTCATCTTCTGCTCTGTAGTCTTGGGCACATTCATCTGCCAGGTGAGACTCTCTGGAGTTGGGGCTAGAACCTGGGAGCCCCGATTCCCTAAGTCCCCAAGGAAAGGATCGAGGCTGGGGTTTGACACTGGGGCTCCCGCTTGGCTTCCGTTTGCCCTTTACCCAAGAAGTGGGGCCCAGAACATCAAGTGCTCCTGTGCAAGGCAGTGCATCGGTTGCAGATAAGAGAAGGCTTACACAGTGCTTTTATGACTTTCTGGATATGCAGAAGTTTCTCAAAGTGGCCGAGAAAAGGGTTGCTCCCTTCTAGGCCCTTGCTGTGCCTCCTGCCAGCATGAACTGTGTGCGCCCACCTGGCATAGGCCCCATTCCCTCAGCACAGTCACAGGAAGAGAAGTGCACGTGTGTTCGACGCTGTAAACCTGCTCCAGCTGCTGTGGGAAGTGGGGTCCGGGCACGGCTGCCCAGGTGGTGAGATGGGCCCCTTCCTTCCTGGAGTAGTCAGAGGTGCACTGAAACACCTGGAAGGCCAGAGCGGGTCACGGACGAGCTGTGCAGGAGAAGAACCCCCACTACTCCACCCTTCTGCAGGGCGCCTCCCTCGTTCCCCCGAGGCCCAGTTCCTCCTTTCTACCTGCTCTGCCTTCTTTGTCACCCACTGGCTTTGGTCACAAGAAGCCCACAGCCGCTTCCGCTCTGCCAGATCTTAGCGTAGCAGTCATAGGAACGGTGTCTCCCATCAGAGGGCTCTGCAAAGACTCTACGTATCTCTCCATATCCTGGACTCCTTCCTGTTCTCCAGCAAGTCAGGTCTCGCATCACAAGGACCCTGGGCTTTGGTGGCTATGTCTGGGGAGCCAGCCCCTGTCCGTCCCCTCCCTGGTGGCGGGCTAAGGCTGCCCTTTCTCTGTCCTAGGTTCTCATTGTGGAGTTTGGGGGGAAACCCTTCAGTTGCGCCAAGCTCACCCTGTCCCAGTGGCTGTGGTGTCTCTTCATTGGGATTGGAGAACTCCTGTGGGGCCAGGTGAGTACTGGTGTACCTCCCGTGCCTTTGTACACCGCACAGACTTCCTGTCCTCTCCCTGAGACGGATGACACAGCCGCACAGACTCTCGGCTCCCTAACGCCACCTTTTCCCTCCTGCCCAAGTGTCCAAGCTCACTCTGGCTCGCGGCCTCACAAGGTGGGGTGATCACTGCCCATTACTTCAGAGGTCTTGGGTCCTTCTCTAACCATGCCCGGAGGCTGGCAGATACATAGCTTCTCTGAGACACCAGCAGAACTTCGCGGTGGAATTTTGCTTGGGAAAGAACACGGGGTGTGTTTTAGAAGTAGAAGAGCTTACAGGCCAGGTGGGGTGGCGCATGCCTGTATCCCAGCACATGGGAGGCTGAGGCAGGAGCACCATGAGTTTGAGGCCAGGATGCCTCCTTGTTTCCCCCCTCACCCTCAGTTCCTCCTACACAGAGTTCAAGGCCATCCCAAATTATTTCTCCCCTGGTTTGCTTCCCCCAAGTGTTAGTCTCTCTCCCTATTATTGGGTATGTGCCATGTATCCTAGTCCTCCTTCCCTTAAAGACATAAAGCAAAGCTGGGCATGGTGGTGCACACCGCCTGTAATCCCAGCACTCAGGAGGCTGAGGCAGGAGGATCGCTGTGTGTTCGAGACCAGCCTGGGCTACATAGTGAGTTCCAGGTCACTCTCACTACATAGTGAGACCCTGTCTCAAAACAAAACAGAAAAGACATAAAGCAAAATGGAAAGAAAGATCTAAGAAAGTAGGAAGAATTATATATAAGTAGGAAGGTGGCGGGTAGATGACTGGAAAGTAAGTTCTCTTTCATGTGTCCATAAATACAGAAAGCCTTCCTAGAGCTGGACAGCTGGTGGCCCTGCTGCGTGCTTGCCTGGCAGCTCAGCGCCCCTCCTGCTGCTCTCCTGGGGACAGGGTAATGGAATGGGAAGAGTGGCCGACAGGGGCGGTCCTAGCTCTGCCACTCTGCTCCGCAGGTCATCTCGGCCATACCCACTCAGTCTCTGAAGTTCCTGAAGGAGGCTGGGCATGGCACTGCCAAGGAGGAAATCACCAAGGATGCGGAGGGGCTGGATGAGATCGACCACGCTGAAATGGAGCTGCGCCGAGGCCAGATCCTCTGGTTCCGGGGCCTGAACCGTATCCAGACTCAGGTACTCCGCTGTGGCCTGTCCTCACCCTGGGAGAGGAGACCTCCTTGTCTCCGGCAGTGGTGGGAGGGCAGCAGCAATTTTTGGCAGTCAGCATCCGTCCCCTGCATGAGGCTCGCTGCCAAAGGGCAGCCCTTGCTCCCTAGCTTTAGGACCCGACAGGGCAGAGGTATTGGTGTGGCTGCCTCCTCCGCGAGAGCAGCCGTGGTACCCAGACCACAGCTTGTTAGCAGAGTCCTTCAGCGATGGCCTGGCTCCAGAGCCAGCCTGAAAAGCTTCATGTAGAAGGTCTTTCGAAAGCACTGTTCCTGACCCAAGGGTGGGGAGTGTGCAGACTCTCCCCGCCTTCCCAAGGGGAGGAGGGACAAAATCCCGATCAGTCACCTAACATGACACCCGCGTGCTGCAGTTAACGGTCATCAGCATTATCGGGAGGTATCTTTGTCAGAGAGATTCACCACCTCCTCCTCCCCACTTGAAATTTGAGGCCACGGGAGGGAATTGGATAATTGAGTATAAAGGACGACAGTCTCTGAGTCTTGCAGGACTCAGACTGCTTCCCAGAAAGGAAGAAGCTGTCATTTCTTCAGACCCTCTCTCTCTTATAATTTCCGAAATGGGACAGAAGCTCCCTGCCTGTAGCCCTACAGTAACTTCTGTTTCCACTTTCCATGCATTCGTTGTAACTTTCTCTTGGGTAAGTGGCCAGTCTAGGCATTGACAGGTCCTTCCCCTGCTCCCACCGGACACCCCTTTACTGTTTTAGTCCCCCCAAGGCACTGTCAATCCCATGGTCTCCAGGATGCTCTCCAGAGCACAGGCCTGTCTCTGCCAGTTGGTGGGAGATTCCCAGATCGGTTCACTCTGGAAAACTGGCCTTGCAGATGATTTAGGAAATTCCCCAGCCAGCCCCATCCGCTTCATACATAGAGAAGACAGGCAGGGGAGTACTCTGAACTGCATGCCGGGTAGGAGCTCTCCACGGGGGAGACCACAGATAAGAGATACATGTGGGGAACAAAAGCTGGGCAGGGAAACCCTGGGCTTCTCCTCCCAGGAAGGGAGCCTGCAGTGGGACCTGCATAGACCACCTCGCGGTGGCCTCCCCACTCCACCTTCCAGGCTGCTGAGTCTCCTGGGTGCCTGTAGAGCTGGTGCCTTGGCTCCCGTCTCTCAAGTCCCCAGTGCTTTCCTTTGGGTCTGCCTTTTTTCAAAATAACCTCTTTGCTTTTCTTCCCCTCAGGACCACCTGCCTCCTTTTCTACTATGTGACTTTTTTTCCCTAGCCAAGATCCCCCTCACCAGTGCCTCCTCGCTCCTTTCCGGTCTTCTCGCCTGGGGAGCCAAGAGTCACGGGGTTCCCTTCCCCTGCAGTGCCTGTTCCCTCGACTGTGCTCCTGTCCGTCTGGCGTCACTGCCCGCAGAGCTGTAGGGTTACTACCTTTCGTGTTGGAGAGTGAGGCAGGCAGCCAGAACGGCATTAAAGCCAGGGCCTAGGCACCAGAGGGAACAAAGGTTACAGATGCATGGCGACCAGATCTGCGCCATTCTGGTGTGCACCTGTGAGCAGATGAGGCAGAGTGGGAGGCATGTTCGTGTGGCCTGGGTACCCAAAGCCCACCTGGCATCCACTCCTTATCTTCAGCAGGGTTCTAACCAAACCTCCTGCCACCTGACGGGATCCTTATTGTCAGGCTCATGGCCGTAGTCAGGGTGAGAGGGGTTGCCAAGTTATTGCCCAGTCCCTGTTGGGATGTCTCCTCTCCCTGGTTCTAGGTTGCTCCTCCCCTCTCCTTTACTCTTTAGCTTTATGGGAGCTGAACGCACTAGAAAGCAGAAGTTTGGGGAATGTAAGGGCTAGCATCTTGGGGAGGTAACCCTAGAATGCAATTTCGTTGCGGAAGTCAGGTCTTATAGCCCTGCTAGGCTCCAAGGGAGGATCTCGACAGCCCCTTCTCCGTGGAGCTGGAACCCTGCTGAGAGTAGCCCCTTTCCTCCTGCAGGTTCACGCTCCTCAGTCCTCTGGAACTGAAAGCTGTAGCATGTGAGCAAGGGTGATGTTTTAGCTCAAACTCTGATATGAATCCAGAAATTAACCTTAAGTATTCTGTGGCTTCTCAGGAAGCTTTGTAAATAAGAGCAGTATTCTGAGCTGCCAGGCACCTGCTTGCCCATCTTCTCCTGGAGGTGAAATCAGAGGAGTGGGATCAGTGCCTTTCCCGTACTCCTGGAGAGCTGCCCTTTGGAATCAGGCATGCAGGTTTTCCTGAGGAGTCGCCCGGTCTGTGAATGATAAAGTAGTCTCTTTTGACTTGTTTCTTGTCACTTGGGTCAAGGACACGGGTGGTAGATGTGATAGGAGGGCCCATGTGGAGGCCATTGCCGGAAGTGAACGGCGCTAGCTGCCTTTGTCTCTGAGGAGTAGCACCCTGAAAACCAGGGACCGTGTGGATGGCCCAGCGCTACTGCTGTTCCTCCCCACTCGCTAATTCTCCTCCCTAATTCTCCGTCCAGCTGCTGAGTTAGTCAGTGTTCAGCCCGACATTTCTGGATATCAAGTGCATTAACACAGCGCAGTGGCATTCTCTCCAGTGGGCTCTGGCCACTGGATCCCTGAGCCACATTTCAGCCAGGCCCAGAGTATCTCGGAGAAGATACCAAGAGAAGACGAACCAAGCAACTCTCACGTTCCAAGGGCCTTTCCACCACAGCCAATTATGTATGGGTCACGATACTACCTTTAAATGAATGTATTATTTTCTTGGAAAATCTGCAAAAATAAGTAGTTGATTTATTTGGTTTAGAGGTTCCTGAGCCTTGACATTCAGAAATATGTAGTTTGCCTTCAGTATCTCCAATTGCATGCCTCAGTTTTGAGAGTTCAGGTCAAAACCACGAATAAGCTGCCAATATCGGCTCAGCTCTTAGGAGTGGTGGAGTGGGAGAAACCCCATGAAAGACCCTTGGACACCTGCACACCTAGAGTGTCCACCAGCCGCCAAAGGGGAAGGAAAACTGGACTGTGGCTGGGTGTTAAGTCTCCTCAGCAGATTGTTCCTCGAGTGGATTGTGATGTGCAGGGACCCACCCCACCATCACCCCTGCTCTGTGTGAGGGAATTCCTCGCCGGCTCTCCAGCTTCTGCCCGCTTCCCCACCCCTCCAGGGACCCTGCCTTCCTCCTCCTTCCCCTCTCTCTGACTGTGGAGCAAAGCTGTCTCATTCTCTGATTCTTTGCAGATCGAAGTAATTAACACATTCCAGACGGGAGCCTCCTTTAAGGGAGTCCTAAAGCGGCAGAACATGGGTCAACACCTTGATGTAAAACTCGTTCCTAGCTCATCCTATGTAGCAGTTGCACCAGTCAAATCTCCCCCCACCACTTCTGTGACTGCTGCTGCTCCATCTCCTCCTCTGGGCAGTGAGTGATAGTCTCTTACGATGCATGATTTGGTGAAATGACCACAAGAGAGCACGTGGCATCCACTTTAACCAGCCATGGTTATCTTTTCCTTTTGCTTTTTCTCTTTGATACTTTGACTTAAGGGAAGAAAAGACAAAAGCCCCACTCCAAAACCAGGCCGTGCACCCTTTTTATTACTTTTTTAATGTTGGAAAGCTATTAAACAATATTTTAAACAATATTCTGTTTTCTGATTGTCCCTCTGCATTGCTTGTTTCTTCCTTTTCTTGTGGTTTTTTTGTTTTGCTTTGCCTTTTTGTTTTGTGTTTTTTTGTTGGTTTGTTTTTGCTTTGTCTGGATGTTACTGTTACTCCTTTCCTCTCTTCCTGCTCCTTTGAGTCTGATCTCTACCACCCAAGCTTAGACGTGAAATTAGGCCAAATTAAAACTCAGCAAGTCTCCTTTTGGGGGTAAGTTTAGGATCCTTCCAAGAAAGCTAAGAAGGGAGCTACTGTGTCCTTGGGTTTTTTACCCATGGGGACCCGTCCTACGTGAACCGATATTAAACATGATAACATGATCGATAATAGTCATTTTGACGATCACTGCATTATTAGCTGGCAATGTAAGCATAAAAACTAGCTGTGAAGAAAGGATGTTAGTTCAAGCGTAGCCGGCTGAGTGTCCTTGTCATCTCACTTTTCAAGGACTTTTAAATCTGGTGTAAGAATAAATCAGTTCACAAATGGGCAGGAGAAATACATGAAAGGCTCAGAGTAACTTTTTTTTTCATTTACTAGAATCTCATAAGAGTTTCTGGAGAGCAGCCCTGTTTTAGCTTCTCCTCTAGGCTGATCATTTTACCAACAGCCGGTCCTTGTGTCTCATTTGGCACAAAAAGTTTTAGGCGCCCCTTTCTCAGGCGTCCTTTTAACTTGAATGCCATCAGCTATTGAGCTGAGAGCTAGTGTTCTCTTCAGTAAGCTGTAGGGCTTTTCTAATGCCTTCCTATACCTGGTCATTTTACCCTTCTCAAATGGGAGGCAGAGAGGACAGAGGAAGCAGCCTGCTGGTGAGGAAGGAGTGCCTTTGTATTAAACACACCGTGAGTTTCAAATTCCTGAGTGTTCAGTTTGTCCCTTCCTCCCAACTCCCAACCCCACACCCTGACGCTGTGACACAAGGTGAAGAAGGAGCAGTTGCATTGCCCGTGGTTCACGTGATTGTGCGTGGCCTAGGCTTGGGGTTTTTCTTTTTAGCTAACTGTAGGTGTTCTGGCGTCGACATGGGGGTGCAGGGCTAGACAGAATTGCCTACTGTCTCTTTAGGCCCAAAGAAAGCACTAAATACGCCTTACCTGCAAATATCCACAAACCTCTTGCTCTAATCCGTCATGGTCCTCTCTTAATTCCTTTGTCTTCTCTTCTTGCCATCCCTGTCATTAGCTTCTGTCCTTTTTAATGGCCCCCCACTGGTTGGAAGAGTTAGCATCAGATGCCCCAGTGATTCGACATGGCAGGAGACTAAGGCAGAGTACAGTGAGCTCTTGCGAAGGTGCTAGTGCTGAGGGTTCACCTGTGCCCCCGAAGGGAGAACCGCAGAGAGAAGACCACACCTGCTCTTTCTCCAGCTGTGCCTTCCCACTGAGATCCTGGAAGTTATAGCAGTGTATTTTAAATCCCATTCCAGATCTCCAACTAAACGTAGCCGAGTCCAAACTTTGTTGTGTACATCTCTAAGATTTCTCTCGCCAGCAAGCACTTAACCCTTCTCTGCTGGCTTCTGAAAGAAAGTAGAAAACCACAGAATTCTAGCTGACAGTAGAGTCCTCATCAGACACCTCCACAAAATAGCGTTTATGCTCAGCTCTGACCTGAGCCCAGCCTGGCTGGGGCTCCTGACCCATGAAAAAGTTGCCCTTCATCCAGCCCCAAAAGAGACATTTCCCGGAGGCTCTGACAAATGATGCCCAGGGAGGGAAGGGCTAGGTGGCTGAGAGGAGAGTGCACAAGGCCTTCGCCATACCTGCACCTCTGGCCCTGCCTCATCCCCGTGCACTGCTCCAGCCCAGGGAGATGCCAGCCTCGGTGGGCTGGTGGTGGCGTACTGTGTGACTGCTCAGTAGCCGGGGTCCTCTGAGCCCATATTGGGGCTGAGGAACATCCGGTGCAGCCCGTGCCCCTACTCCGCACCCTTTGCTCTCACACCAGACGGGTGCTGCTGCTTCTCGAGCTCCCCTTACTGGTGTCTGGTTTCCCCTTAGACTCCAGAAGTCCTGCGGTCTCGCTGGATGACTATTGCTTGCTCCCCCGAAGAGTGTTTCCTTATCTCTCGGCCTACCCCTTTTGCAACTCATTTATCTTCCTCATTTGTCTACCTGTAACAAGGCTACTGGTTACCCCAGCAGGTGAGAGGAAAAGTCAGCAAACGGCTCCTGGCCCTCATTCCAACCCTAATTTTTAAAAACCTATTCTTTAAAATAATGGATTCCACATAGAATTAGTTCAATAAAAATATTCAATTGGTTTTAGAAAAATAGAAGAAGAAAGTTTAAAAATCACTGATAAAAAGATAATGATGGTATAAAAGGTACCTGCTTTCCTGTAGGACTCATTAGAAATTTTAAAACACCAAGAGCGGATGAAACACATGGGTTGTCACCACTCCTACAGAGGTGAGATGGCTTTGGACCTATGCCTTGGCCAGGGCCAAAGGAGAAGATGTTGTTGACTTTGGGCTCTCTTGAGTCAAGTTGTCTCACGCTAAGATTTGATGTAAGGCACCTGAGACCTCCCTGAAGATTAGATCCAGCTCCATTCCACCTGATCTCACCCAGGTCTGGAGCAAAACCAGTGTGATGGTAAAATTCGCCATCACGTGTTCAGCGGGAGTCGTAAAAGGATGGAAAAGCAGGTGCTCTCTCTGTTCTGCATGGCGAGTATGCACTGAGATTCCTCGATTCTGTTTAGCTGAGAAGTCCATTGCTTTAAGCTCTGAGCATCCCCAGCCCTGGGTGAGCCAAGGGGCTGTGGAGAAGTGAGGTGAGGTAAGGTACGCTCTGGCCCACAGAGGCCCAGTCTACCCGAGAGGGGCGGGCCGCGGGACTGATGGTGAGGCTGCCTTGCGCAGTATTCTGGAAGGTTCTATACGATGACAGGAGGCACTGGACAGGAACTCCATTTACCTTGTGTGTGTGATCTGCCGCCTCTACATTCTAGCCTCTCCCCAAGAATGTGTTTTTGCTTAAACCGCAGAGGAATGAAAGATGTGCCCTGCTGCGACCTTCATCTGTCTCTCTTGTCCTCCACCCCGCCTTGACGACTCCTCCTGCATTACTTCCATTTCTTTCCTATGGAAAGAAGTTTCGGACAAGGCCAGACTGGCTACCTCTAAAACACTACAGTGTCCTACAATTACTTACCTTTCCCTGGCCTCCCTCTCCAGTGTCTCTGGGATCCAGCCCTCTCCTCCACCGCAATTCTATCACCCTAGATTGAGCCACACCCCAGAGAGACCTACATGTGAGAAAAGCAGAGCTGCCAGGAGAGCTGGTGCCTATGGATAAACGGAAGCTGTTCACAGGGATCAGTTATTGTCAGTTTTTCCCTCTAGACTTTGAATTGACTGAATGCCTCTTTTTGTGCAGTGGAACAGACTTTGACTTTGACACAGGGCACTGCATTTCCTTTTTGCCCAATGAAACGGCCAGTTGTTCTCCTTCCCTCCACCCTCTTCCTCTGCCCGGTCAGAAAGGCTGCTGGTTTGTAGCCTGCCTCCTGGATCAGGTTTCTCCCCAGTCCAGCTCTTTCCCTTCTCCGTATACGATCACACTCCTCTTCCCAGTTTGGAAACAGCTGGAGAGAGCAGCATGATGGCACCGTGTTTATAGATCAGAGCCGGGCATGCGCTCAACTTGTGAGAGCCAGGTTTTCTTAGGGCATCTTGACATCTGCATTTCATCTACATCTTCTGGGGGAAAGAATGAAGGACTCCAAGGAGGGACACAGTGGAGGTTGTGGGATGTAAATTATATGCATGTCTTCTGACTGGGTGGGCAGCTGACTGAACTGGAGCGTTTTAACTCCCTGCATGCCACTGAATGGAGACTGGTTTGTCTGCTGGCTGCACCGTATCTGTCCACGGTCACTTGTCACCTAGTGTATTCTGTGCAGATTGATTTATGTTGGCTCTTTGAGGGTTTTAAACAGATAACTACACTTCCCAGTGTGATTTTTCCCATTCCACATTCATGAAATGTTTGGCCTCACCACAGAAATCCACGTGTGAATCATCTCTTAAGTTTGGCTATTAATTTGCACCTAGTTCCAACATCCTTGCCCTCTCTCCAAAAGAACTAATGAGTCTTTTTGTTTCCTGTTTCATTTTAAGGGTGGATTGCTTGGAAATGCTAGCTTTGCTCTGGGTTTTCTACTTTTTTTAAATATAAATTTGGAAACGTCCTTGTTTGCCAAAACTCACCCCACCCTAGTGCTTGATATTTAAGCCATGTAATGTTTCCTTTCTTTTCTTTTCTTTCCTCTTCTTCTTTGTCTTTTTTTTTTTTTTTTTTTTTTTT